CCCAAAACCCCAAAACCCCAAAACCCCAAAACCCCAAAACCCCAAAACCCCGTTAGAAGATGCTGTTATTGAAAATTTATGGTTAAAATTTAGCTTAACCGAATGCTTTTTCAGGCTCTGAAAGCTGATATTTTGGCTTAGATCCTCCTTTGTTAGTCTTTTTATCACTCTTCTTCTCAGATGGTTTGTACATATCCAGTTTCTCAGGGGCATCAAAATGAGTATAGTGGTTATCTGCAGGAGTGAAGGAGCTAAAGTCACATTTTGGGTTAGCTTTTCCATATAATTTCCTTTCCTCCTCTCTTATCTCTTCTTCAACAGCTTCCAGAAGCTTTCTAGGGTTGGTACCATCTCTGAAGGTTTCTCCCTTTTGGTCTACCATAACTACAATAGTTGGGCCGTCATGTAACTCTCCAAGGTTGATTGACATCTTGTCTGCAAGGTCAATATAAGTGTATGCATTAATATTGTAATGGGAGATATCTGCTTCTGTATAGATAATGTCAGGATGGTTTTCACAGAGACATTTCCATAGTGTCCCCTGAACGTTTTGGTTAACCTTATTCTGATCCCATTCGTCTTGGAAGTTCTCGTACCAAACTGTCACAATGATATTTCTATCTTCGATTTTTAACGTCTCTTCTAGATCTTCACCTTTTTCTTCAGGGTACTTTAGGTGGAGACATTGGTCATCAGTTTTTCTTTTTAAGCGATCTGGCTTGATAAAATGGTTATCACTCTTAGGCTGGGGTGCCTTCTTAGGCTTCTGTGGTTTCTGCGGCTTCTCCGGGATAGTTTGCGGTTCAATAGGATAATAAGCTCTGTCAGCACTTCTCGGACGGAATCTAGTTGGAAATTGGGCACCTATTATGATTATTACTAGTTAATAAGCAAACTTACCTCTGTACAACCTTTTTTGAATGCCTGGATGTGGATAAAGATAGCATAAGCTTAATGATATCAAAATAGATAATCAAAGAACTAATTTTAGCATTGTATTTAATTTTTAACGGTTCAAATTTTGCAAATTTTTAAGGGGTTTTGGGGTTTTGGGGTTTTGGGGTTTTGGGG